ATATTTTCCTCTTTTTTGGCACCAGTGTTGTTAGATGATGTAGGATGTGAACAAGCTCTGTTGTTGGGTATAGGGCGAAGAAAAAAAAGCGAACTGAAAACGCGAGACGGTAAGAAAGGGGAAGGAAAGAAAGGGTAGGGGGGGGGCGAGAACTCCAGCGACCCATACCACCCTCCCTTGGGAGCCTGCCCACGCCAATAGGCCACTTCCGAGTTCCAAAAACCCTCACTTTGAAAATGAGGCCAAGTGCACCACCTTTCCTGTAAAAAGGAGTTGTTATTTGCATGAGGATGAAAAATCATTTCCTTATCAAAGGCTGAGCACTTAACCTCGTTTTGATACAGAGTCCCAGGGGAACTCGGAAAAGGCCTATTACATTAACACAAACGCAAACGTCTGACGTTCCGTCCAGCCAAAACAAGTTGGCAGTTACTTCCGACGTTAGGTTTTAAACAGCTTAACCCAGATGGTCATACAGATGACCGCACATGTCAGGCGGAGGCAAGAAATCGGCAGAAATCGGTGTCAGCATTGCCCTTAATAGATTAATGAGCTCATAGCAGTCGCTGGAATAATATCGCTATGCTAAGGGACTTTTGCTCGCGTATCGTTCACTACACAGATACTCCAAGAAACGCCTTACGAGTTTCACGCACTGCAGCAGCTTTGGATTACAGCGGGTGCGTAACTAAAGAATAATCAGTGAAACGAATCCCATAAAAATTCCCATAAAACGTTCGATCTCCTCGGCACGGGTAAGGCAGGATTAGTGTTGCAACGGTGCCCTTTATGGGCTTTTTAAGTACTCAGCCGAAATATGAAGGAAACTATTTTTCACTCAACTGGATACTTCTCCTTGTTGTTACGGAATTGGCATCTCTTTGCCACCTCGCAAAATTAGATTCTAGTATCTTTAACGGGTGTATTTTTAAAATTGCCTGACGAGCATCTGATCATCTTTGTTTATAGAGAAATTCTCTCTCAAGGACGGATTCATTGCCGAGGTTCACAGTCTCTATAGTTTGCCATTCCAAGCGAAAACAAATATTGGCGACTGCAGTCACAAAAAAAAATAAAACTAAAAATAGAAGGCAAGAAAATTCCAACCGCGTAAGAAATGAATAGCTATGACTGCAAGCAAACGCTTCAAATATAAAAGAATGGAAATTCAACTATCTTTTGTGTGCCATTTTTAAGCGGTACTTTGAAATAGAAGCTCGCGCGAAAGCAAATACTAGCCACAACATTACTTATGCAGGAAGCACTCTCAAACTAATCCTCTTGAGAAAAAATAACAAACATTACATGAACAGCGATTATATCGATAAATTTATGGAGTTTAAGAGGCAATTCTGCCAAAAATTATCATCAAAGCAATAAGATCTTCCTTCAAAACCAGATAAAGTTAAACGAAACCAAATGGGCCTCGGTTTGTTTTAATTATTTGCATAATAACAAAGCAAACGCATAATTATGCAAACATGGTACGCACACAAAGATGATGCAATAAGTAATCTTTTTTCATCATAACAAAGCTTTAATTATCAATAATTTCGCTCTTTCTTTAACAGATAGCAGAGTGGCGCAGTGGAAGCGTGCTGGGCCCATAACCCAGAGGTCCGAGGATCAAAACCTCGCTCTGCTAAGATGGTTTTTTTTCCTCACTTTTTTCTTATTTCATTTTTCTTTCGGGCCAAGGATGTATTAAACATATCCAGTATATTCTTAGTCGTTAGAACAAAATCCCCAAATTAAAACAACAGGAAGAGTAACAGTTGGAATAAGACTATCGGTAAAGAAGAACTGCTTTCGTTTAACAAATTCCCACTTAGATACAGAATATTTAGAAGAAGGAAAAACGAGTTCAGTGATAGAAATGAAGAATTTCGAGGTCAAGGGTATGAACAGGAAAGAGATTCTGCCATTAAATGTCCTATTGTTACAGTCTAACCTGGCAACATCCAGCATGTCTTGTGGTGAACTAAGAAGAGCAAGATTCATAAGTTCATTGTCAAGTCCATGTTCCTACAAAATCGAACGGATAAAATATGTTTAGCTTCTTTAAGTTGTGTTTTTCTAGACCTAAAGTCGAATACTGCGCTAAAGTGTTTCTTAAAATGATTTTAAGAGGGTTTTAAAAAGGTTGAAAACAACAGCGTTTCGGAAACATTTACAAGCGTAATTTCCAAGTTTAGTTGATAGGATTATATTTCATTAAAAATATCAAAGTGTCAAATCTCTTTTTTAGAAACAGACTTCTTCAGTGTTAAGAAAACCGTTGTATTACGCAACTGTCATTAGGCATAAAGAAGCGCGAGCGCATGTTAATAATAAAGCGTGCAAGATGTATGTCACAGTTCAAATGAAGCTGAAATTAATATTTAGTCCTTTAGGCTAGACGATTCCTAGCTGGAAAAGCAATCTCATTTCACGTTGCTTCCGTTGATTTTTTTTTAACTGCATAGAGCCACACTACGCACCTGGCGAGCAAGCGAGAGGCGAGGGCGTTATTTCGCGGCTCGTTTCGCTCGCCAAAACAGAAATGGAAAGCTTCTAGCAGACTAATCCTTCGCACATTTCCGCAAAAAGTGAAAGCCAAATTCTTTGGTAAGGGTAACATACCTTTGCGAGTCGTATCGCGTTACTGTAACACTGGGCTCGAGTATAGAAGTGAATGGCTTCTCTTATTTTCTCCTAAAAAATCAAAACGTTTTATTAATAAAATTACTCTATCCTTACATCCTTACATGGAAGAAGCATTACACTCAGTGTTCAATTCAACAGTAAAAGGAAATAATTCGTCTTATAAATAGCCTCGTTCTAAAAAAAGTGCTACACTATGGGTGCGTTCCTTTGGGATGATGCGGATCAGGATCAGTGATCCGAGATCATTCGGATCATGGGAGATCAAATGAATCGATGAATCCACTCTGGACAAGGATTCATCGGTTCATTTGATCTACCATGATCCAAATGATCTCGGATCACTGATCCTGATCCTGATCATATCAAAGGAACTCATCCTATGTTTTTTGTACGAATCGCTCAAAAAAATTGGACACGGTAAAAAGTAACAATGTGTCAACAACCACGTTGCACCAACCTGGTTTTCAAATTGACGTGCAAGATGATATGAAGCTGCTCTGTCGCCAGTGTCGTTGCAGATTTCTGCCGCCTGAAATTGAAGTTACAGATGAGAATGATAAGCTCCCAATCAAACTGAGGGGCGAGATAATTTACTGGCAAGAAACCTTTTCTCCCGTGAAGTCGAAGCTAGAAAACAAAGATACGCGCGCGCGAGTTACCCCGCGTCTGATGGCTGAAAAAACTCGAGCCGTCGTCACACTAACCTAAAATATTTTGACCGTCAATTATCTTCGGAGTGAATTAAGAAGACATAAGACACGGGAGACTGCTCAAAGTCTATAAAAGCTTACCTTTTCCAAGTTGCCACAGTAACAGTAGACTCGGACCAGTGATAAGTTATCACGCGCCGCTTCATAAAACTGCAGCGCTGTTTCCATTTCACTCGTGCTTTCCATGTACTGCGCCCACCATTTACGTAACTCCCTGATAAAAAAGCAAGCAAATGTTGTTACAGCACATTTCTTTCTAATTCTGTATGACTCAGTGCATGGTTATCATTCACTAGCGTATTTTTTTTTACGGACGGTCTCCTCAACAACACCAACCGAACACTGAACACGACACTCTCAAAAGGCTTTTAGAGGAGAGGAAGGATGAATAACTGGTGTTCAAAAGGGAAGTAGATTCTAGCCGGTAAATTGTCCACTTCTTCAACAACAAGGACTTTCCGATTTGGGAACAAGAGCCGGAATTTTCGAGTTTCAAGGCTTTTAACTTATTTCTTGAATATTCGCCTCCCTTTCCGCCCCCCAGAATATTGGCTTACTCCTTCGTCCAATCAAGCAAACAAGCGCACTCAAAAATACTAGCTATAACGAACGGAGAATGATGATGATGATGATGATGATGATGATGATGATGATGATGATGATGATTATGATGGTGGTGGTGGTGGTGATAATGATGCTTTAGTTCTCCTTTCTACTCCCTAGGCTCCTTAAACAAACAACTTCTTTTTCCAGACTATCAAATATACCACTTTATGGGTAGAAATTGAGGAAGTGGGGTAAAGCTTATCGGCAATGAAATCATCCCTATACATTAAAGACTTGAATTCCACTTACTTGTCTTTTGTTTTGAGTATGTAGGCTTCCAGTTGTTGAGGTTCCTCCAGTAGCATCCTGGGCACTTCAAAACGGTGAGTATCTGCCTTTTCAAAACTAAAAGCGAACAAATTGCCCCATTACAAGATGTATAAGGTAGTGCGCGGCCTTCAGTGCGAGAGTTTCCCAGGTGTAAACTCAAATCCTTGCTTCGACTAAGCTATAAATACCCGGATAAAGAGAGAGAAAGACAGAGGGAAGGGATAAAATAAGCGCACCGTCGGCCTTGGGATTGTTGATCAGACGACGTTTACCTCAATCAAGGTTTGCTGCACCAAAATTACAATGAGACATGTTAATTTCAGCTGTTACAAACCGTCAACTTTTTTTGCCAACTTGCGTTGATCCCGTGCGGGTAAAAAGCCAAATGTACTATTCACTACATCGAACACCCTCTAAGATTTCCTGTCTCCCTATAAGCGGTGTCTCTTTTTTTATTTTGCTTTTTCCCACTCACTTAACGATAGCAGCTGATATGTTTCCTGTTGACTCCAGATGTTTGGCATAGTTGTAGTAAGTTGTTCTCAAATGTATGCGATCTTGAAGTTCCGCCACTTCCACAGCCTGATTAAAAAAACAAAAATACAATGCAATTTCAAGTCTACGATTTTCTGTAATGTTCTGTTATTGCTGTTGTTGTTTCGTAAATCGAGGGGCGATTTGCGACAAAGAACAGGAAAAAACGTCTTTATATACGACAGGTCTAAGACTGTGTAAGTCTAGCAAAGTAACTGGGTTTAGAATCACGGAAACGAGTTTCCCCGCTCTTGAAACCGGTTTCACGTTTTCCCGCCTTTAACACCGACTGTAGAGTTTCCTGCCCTTAGCAAAATCACGCTTTTCCCGCCTTGGTGACGATGGTGGCTGATTCTCGGATCCTGCATTCTGGCCCACCTCCCCCTCCTCTAAACCAAAATTTTGTCCTAAGTGACAAGTTAGTGTAAACGTTGGGTAAGGTTAGGGGTAGGTGGCCAGGGGTCCGTTTCTCAAAAGTCCCGATAATTAACGGGCCCGGTGAGCTGACTCCGTTTACATTAAAGATTGAGGTTTCAATAGTTTTGCATCTAACATGATAAAACTATCAGTTAATGAAACAAAATGGAGCAGTTTGCTAGCCAGGACCGGCGCTCTTATTCTTTACATTTTGATTTGAATATTTGATTTCGGGCCCGAAAAGTTACCGGGACTTTCGAGAAACGGGCCCCTGTTTCTCAGAAACTTACACTGATCGAACGCTTTTTTCCGCGTTTGGCAACGTTGCGACTTCAGATTGCGGTAAACTGATTTAGCCTTAAGACAATAATGCTCTAATTAACACTAATGTAGGAAACCGAACTTGAACAAAACAGAAAACGGACCTTAAGTTATTAAAAAAAATACTAATACTGTTGAAGTGTCTGACCTTAGTCCACTGATTGGAAGCTTGGTAAAACTTGTTTAACATGTCAAAGCGACCACAGTTCTTTAACAGCTTCTCTGCTTCTTCCTGTTAAGATTACATTGAAGTTAACAACTTAGGCAGTTGAGAGGATATTGCATGTAACTGTCTAACTTTATTTTTTCCATTAAATCAAGTGATTGAAATGGTCATCACAAAATACCTCAGTGTCGCTATTTCGACAACGAAGGAAATCTTACTATTAAAGAGACGCCCTTCGGTGAAAAAACGAAACTACCCTTGCATTGCTGTAAATAGGAAAAAGTTTAAAGGGGTCGGCCTCTCTTATAGTGGAACACGTTAATTAGACAACACCGGCTAAAAGAGACTATGTTAGAATGACCCCGGCCAGAGTACTTACATTCATTCCAAGCTGAATGGCTAAGCAAGCCACTTTGGCGTCCAGTTCAGGCTCTTTCTGTACTTCCCTTAGTGCTTTAGCCGCTCGTGCGTTTGCCATGTTCCCTAAACACACAGTCGCCACGTCCAGTCTCTTGGTCTTAACGCACATCCGCGCCATGTTTTCCCAAACGGACTCGCTGCCAAGGAAACGTTCAGTCAGCAAAATTTGAAACCTCTTGAACCGTAGTTTCCCGTTGTATTTTAGAGCCTTTTTTTACTCGCATCGTCAGCAGCTATGCAATTTCAGGGATTGCAGTTGAAGAAAGCGTTTACATAAGTTAAGAAAAGAGTTCACTTCCCACAGGATTTGTCAGGGGCACCAACATAGCCGCCGTGTCATCGTTTTAGGACAGCAACATGGCTCAGCATTAGATCCCATCGACCTTAACTCCTTGGACACCTTATTAAGTTTACACAACGTAGTATTCTTTATTCAATACACTTAAATGAAATTTCTAAGTTTCTTGACATTTCTGCTCAGGAAATGTTCATGAAAGTGTAAGCTTCTTCGATTTTTAAGGAAAAAAATTCAGAGGAGTAAGAATCGAACCCGGAGCATGGTTTGATTTGAAGCTATATAGCAATAACCCTAACCCTAGATAGAAGCTAACCTTTTGGAGTCAGCGCTTAACCCTAATCACAATACTCAGTGCTCGAAACCGAAGCGATAAGGAATACCAGGTTGTGTAAACCCCATAACGTGTCCAAGGGGGTTTAGGCCCATGGGATCTAATGCTAACACATCATGCAAAAAGGGTTTACAGTCCCGCTTTAAGGACATCTCAACCTGCTTTATACGGACACTTTCTATGGCCCCATCAATGTCCGTATTAACCGGGTTTGACTGTATTTGTTTTCACAGTTTCACTTCATGAAGTTGGATTTTCGGCTCTGGGATGATAACTTTTGGGGATCATTTTACGTTTCTGGGAAACTGCCCACCTACCTCTCCCCTAAGCCAGCATTTTGCCCTAAGTGAGAAGTGTTAATGTTGGTTTAGGGGAGGGGTAGGTGGGCAGTTTCCCAGAAACGTAAAATGATCCACTTTGCCACGCCTCCCCTCCCCCCTCCTCCGCACCAAAAAAAGTCAATACACTCAGCTGAACGCAGAGCCACTTTTCAGATTTACCAACCTTTTAATTAACTTGATCGCTTTGAATGCCTCATCCATGTTGCCGATAGCTGAGAGGTAGCTGAAGTTCATCATGGCCTTTCTAGCCTCCAGATCAGCATTCTCTAATCCAATGAAGTCCCTCATGGTGTGTTTCGTGACCATGTGATGTTTATCAGGGAGGGGTATCTTGGTAGCTCCGTATGACGGTGGGTCAGGGGGAGGGGCGCCTTCTAACTCACCGCTCTTTGGATTTCAAGAAATACGATTTCATTAAAAAGGAATCCGCTGTAAAAGCGTTCACTTAGGCGTATAACATGACAAAGACCGAAAAATTACAGATATACGAATGAGAATGTAAGGGCAAATATGAGGTTGAAGGATGAGAAGTGCCATGCAAATCACAATCTTCAGCAAGGTATACATGAAAAATAAAGACTAAATCAGGATAAGAAGAACAAAAAGTGTTTTGGAAGACCATTGACTTGAAAATAAATTACTTTAGTAGTCACACTAACCTTTTTAACCAATAAAAAGTAAGGAACCTGAACGCCAAGCAAACCTAGAAGTTACAACAAACATTTATGACAGTAAATATTAACACTGAAATATACAAAAATGTCAAGCAAAGAAATACCCTCTAAGGGCATCTAAAGAGTTCGAGCCAACAAGAGTCGATTAACCCAGCCAGACTGTTATCTTCTCATGTTAAAATACTACAATTTGTAATAAGGAGATAGCGTTTTTGCAAAAGACTCAAGTATCACAGAACTTACTGAAATATGCAGGGTCTATTGGAAAATAATCTTGTAAGAGAATCCCATGCTCTGGGGTGCTGAACAGTGATATAACCATCACATCACTCTGTTAAAAAGTACAAAAAATATATAAGATAATTAAAAGATATCATTATCATTTTACTGCAAAAGAAAACGTAAAATAATACCAGTCCAGTATATCATACTGAACACATTACCCGAGGGGTACTCCCCGTAACAGCCTATACGGGGAGGCTTCGCCTGAAAGGGGTACTTTTTTCAGGCTTCAGGTATATTTGAAAGAATAGAAAATTGACTAGCTGAAGTATACGAAAGGGTAGAGAAAACTGTCATCTCGGTCGTAGGAGGGCTAACAGATGCATTTTGACCGTGAAAAAGTCGAGAAAACGTTCTGGTCTTGTGATTTATTCGTATTTAAATACAGTGCCTTTACAGCAGTTTTAAGGGATGTAAAGATAAACCAAGTACCAATTATCAATAAAAGGTATACGAAAGGGGGACCTTTCCTGTCAAAAATGAAAGGGTAAAGGACTTGGACCTCAGGGTGGAGCCCATTTGTGTAAAACTATGTTGAGTGCTTCCTCCCTCGCCCCCCCCCCCCCCCCCCCCCCTTCCGCCGCGACCCGGATACGATCTAATCAGAGCGAGATGGGATGACATGTGGGCACGGTTTTGACATTGGAGTTTGGACGAAATGTCAGCCGTGGTTCTAATATTTTGATTTATGCTTACAGCAGCACTACGCAAAAAAAGAAGCGAAGCTCGTATTATTAACAACGGCGTGATAGATCATTTATTTCAGTTAAAAATACTTTTAAAAGGTTTTAAACGTTTCCAGCCAAGAACCCTCCTTCGATTTAAACGAGCATAAAAGTTTTTTCTCGTTCCCGCTATCCAATGCCACTTGAGCCCACTATATAAACTCAGAAGTTTGGTTCAAAGGCAGTCAAATTTGCGGGGTGAACCCGCAGGGGACAAACTCGCTACAGTGTGAAACCACTATAACAAGGCGGTGGTTTCATCCTCTAGCGAATTCACTACCTAAGAGTTCGTCCCTAGTTTTTACTTTGCCTCGCAAATTCTAGCCAAGGCCGTCCTTAGATTCCGACGAGAATATAATTTTTTTTCGTTCTTTCTATCCATTGCCAAGTAAGCCAAGGCAGTCAAATTTGCGGAGTGGACTCAAAAGGGAGAAAACTACTATACATGTAAAACCATTTCTAGCCTGACCTCTCTACTGTCATCTCCAGTTGCTGATGCTTTCGCTGGTTTCAACCCTGGAACGTGTGAAGCCTCGCAGACTAATAACTTAGGTTCTGTAGGATCCCAGTACTGCAACAAAGGTCTCCTGCCAGCGACTTCAGCAGCCTGCTGTGCTCTGTTCATGATATCAACGCTTTCTTTGTCATCCTCTTCTGCTCCTGAGCCCATGCCAGTTGCAAAGTCAAATGATTGAAAACTATCGAGTTCGATATCCCAAACGTAGATTCTGGAATCTGGAGAGTTGTTCGCCTAAAATGAACGAAGTGGTTAGTAAAGAGCCTAAGTACATGGGAAGCTTTGAATACCGGGGTTGCACTCTGGCTGCAGTGCGTAAATGTTAGTCTTCAGTTAGCCTGCGCAGCTTGGCTCTGTAGCCTGAGAAAGCAGCCGACATTTGCCGACGCCACCACTGGTTTCCCTGCCAAATGACGTCTGAGACATGCGCAGAAATTCCATACTGATGACGCGTTACTACCCAGATCTGGGTAGGACTTCTGATTGGTCGAATCAAATTTCCCACGCGGCACGACCAATCAGAAGCACTACCCAGACCAGGGTAGTGACACGTCATCAGCATGGATTTTCTGCGCTCGTTTCTCAAACGTCAATTCGCGGAGAAACCAGTGGTGGCGTCGCGAAATGTCGGCTTTTTTCTCAGGCTAGGTTCTTGTTCCATTTTTGCGCGGCAAAAACCGAAAATCCCGTTCCTAGTCGTTCCTCGGTCTTTCTTTGCTCCGAAACCACACGGAAACGCTTGTTATGCAGGATGGTTTCCAGTGGTCCAATGCACTGTCCAAAACAGGTGAAGCAACAAAATAACCTCTTCCTGGTCAGCCTTATCACTTTTCCCCTTCATCCCAAAAGTAGAAAAAAATCAAAAATAAGAGAACGAAATTTGCAAATTTCATTTTTCAAAATGCCGAACAATAAACACCACCACGTGAAAGAACTGCTGAAGAGATTTCATTTGAATGGTCACACCATGGGATTTCATCCACACTCAAAAGTTAGGACTACAAACGAAATAAATAGTACAATTTGAAAGTACTGCTGAAGAGGCTTCATTTAAGTAGTCACACCATAGATTTCGTCCACAGACTCAAAACTGAGAACAGTCTTACGAGTCGTAATCATTCACTTTGTCAGTGAAAGGTTTAATGGTCATTAATGGCAGTGTATAACAACGTTTTGTATTACCTTGTCACACAAGATGCTAACTTTGCTACCATTACAGTTGCACTTGACGGACCTAAGCTTTCCAATCCCTGCAATACTATCCCCCAAGGATTTGGGATTGCAGTGTTGTTTGGCTTCTCTGCAAACAGAAAGGTTATATTTAAGTCTGAGAGATCTTTGACAGTTCAGACATATTAAAGACTGCCTGAGACATCTTTGAAAGCTACATGAAAGAAGTCAGCGAATCCTGGTGGCTAAACAAAGAGGAAAAAAGGATGGCATGTCAATTGTTCTCATCAGATGTACCTAATAGAACTGCAATACTGTTTGGTATGATTAAAATGACCACACTCATCAGGTAAATTACAACAAATAACTGGTACAAGTGCAATGCTGGCATTAAAAAGTGTATTTTCGACGCATTATTACGACAACTTTATAAGTGTTACTTATGGGCTGTAAGTATTCCTTACCTTCTTGATAAATCCCAGACCTTAACATAACCAAGTGAGGTACCAGCAGCAAGAAAGTTTCCACACACATCCAATAGGACTGGGTCACCCTCTGCTTCTGAGAAACTCAAGATCTGCTTCACTGTTCCCTGCACGTACAGAAAATGTTACACTGTTCAAATAACACTCATATATATGGATGTACAGAAAGTGCAAATCCATGATCTGGGGGCTTCTGGCTTCATTCCTAGCCTGGGCTCTAGATATAGGTGGCACTGGCCAAAAGGATTACAGCTCTGGGGAGGAGAATGTGCAGCGACCTCATTATTATTACAACAACAACAACAACAACAACAACAACAAATTTTATTGAAAATTGGAAAATAACTAATTACATTACTTTCCCACCCGCAAATAGCTTATGAACTAATCGAGGCGGGGGGAGCTGAAGACATATTACAAAACAAGATTTATATATAGATGGACTAAATAACAGTGAAGACTTAAACAGACGGCCGTCCATCTTAACCACATCACGTGATATTACACATAAACATGAAAGTATACCTGGAATGTTCTGACTTGAATCTTTCCTGGTTCTACAGTGTAAACACTTTGTTCATGAACAACAACAGCTGGAGAATCCGAATTGAAAGAACCTGCAGAGAAGAACACGAAAATTTGGGATAATTAAAAAATTACAGCAGCTGAGAGCTCCCCTTGTATTCGACGTTGTAAAATCTGATGTCTCAGAAGTCAACAAGTTGGTGTTGAGGTGTTGAGAACTACCAAGACCTAAAGCAGGCGTTAAAACAGATGAAAATTGCACAGAGTTGTGCTGGTATCGCAGGTTCTGGGATGCATGAAAACCATAGAGGTTTAAGTAAAAAATGTTGTGTGTTGTTTTAGCCTGCAAAGCAGGCGTATTTTTCAGCGCGATCCGTAACTTTTTGTGGGAATAATGCTATCCTGCCATCTTGGACGTTAAAACTACCACAGAGTTAAGGCAAGTCAAAAACTGATTACAAGGGAGAGGTTGATGGGATTAAAATAGAGAAGGGGAAGGTTCTCTCCTCCCCAACCCTCCCCCATTTCCCAACCCTCTGCTGTTACTCTTTTTTGTTCGCTTTTCAAGATGGCAGCTGTGATCAATGTAACTCAGCCCGTTTCTGTTAAAAAACGCCTGCTTTACAGGCTATTGTTCTTTGGGAGGTTTTCAGTCTTTTTTTTTTTTTTTTTTTTTTTTTTTTTTTATATAATTCTTTATTGAAACAAATTGATATTAATACAGCAAATTAGTTACTTACCTACATAATTATAATGTTACAACTAATACCACTAATACTAATAATATAATACAACAAATTAACACTGATATTCAAACAAACTAGAAATGTTTACAAAATATAATGTAAATAATATATTAATTACATACAGAAAGTGGATGCATATTAAAACCTTTAAATAGTTAAGCATTTACAAGAGGCGACACTATCCATTTAGCTTCAAAGAAATCCTTTGCTTTTTTGCTATGCAGACTTATCTATTTTTCCGTTTCATATTTTACAGCAATTTTCTTTTTAAATCCATATATATTCGGAAGAATTTGACTTCTTCTACAATCCCACAAGTACAATTTCCCAATCATAATTAGATAGTTTAGAAGCTTAGCAGAAGGGGAGTTTTGTCGTATCATTCCAACTAAAACATCTTGCAACGAAAGTCGAATGTTTTCCTTTAAAAGTTGGTGCCAGAATACTTCGAAGTCACGCCAGAAATCTACCGAGAAAGGACAAAGATATAGGAAGTGATATAGCGTTTCTGGTTCAGATGAACAAAATGAGCACGAGTCATTCAATTTAAAGCCAATTTTGTAAAGTTTAGCATTAGTATAGAGAATGGCGTTAAGAATTTTGTATTGAAATGCCTTAACATATGCTTCAAGAGCAACACTATGCGGGATCATAAAAATTTGTTTAACTTCCTCGAGTGTGAAATGAAATTCATTTTGCAGCTTGTTTACATTAGTTGGAAAGAGAGCCTTTCTGCTTACAAGTAAAGTATAATAGTCTTTAGATTTTTTCTTTGTGACATCAAATATATTATCGTCAATTTTTAGAGAAAGTTCACCTGTTGTTGATTTATGAGTCCAAATTTTTAAAATGGAAGGGATGGAGTGTCGAAGACCTGCCCAAACTAAAAAATTTTGTTTTAGAAATCTTGTTAGAAACTAAGGAAAAGGAATCTTTGTTATTTAAGTCAAAGGATAGATCGCTGATGTGAACTACACCAGCTTCGAAATAGCTTTTATAATAAACTGTTTTATTATTAATGAGTATTTGTTTGTTATTCCAAAGAATATAACGCCAGTCTTTTTCTGAAGAGAACGTATCTCTAAATTCTGACCACCACTGCAGTAATTCTAGATAGAATAGAGAAATATTCAGTGGAAGGATACTAACATCATAATTGCAATGAAACAAGAAAAGGCCGCCAAAGCGTTCTAGATGATGTGTCAGATACCTTTTCCAGGTGCCATCATTTGAGCTAGCTATTCTTTTTAGCCATGCCAATCGAAGCGATATTATCATGCTATCAAAATCAATCATCTTTAATCCTCCGTTGGAGTATTCATTTATCACCGATCTGCGTGTGACTTTATCACGACCATTCCATAAGATTTTCAGTCTTACCTTCTGCTCGGACCATGCTCTTGTCACCTGCTACCTCATACACCACCACCCTTTTGCCATTCCATATTGCTGTGTGACTCTGTTTCAAAAGATTATAGCACAAATATAGTTCGATATTTTTCAGTAAAATTTGACATATCCGTGTGATTTCACAAGGTGAAGACCCTATTCATTTTCACATTGTCAACTCTTGCTTATGACAGTACTCTACAAAATCCTTGACTGCATACCACAATAACATATAATTATTTTCCGTTGTTTCCCCTGGCCATTTTCCAACAAAAACATGTTATCGACCAACCACCCTTTTGAAAAGAGCATGCCAAAATATTAAATGAAATAATATTGGATAACTTGAGATGAAAGGGATTCCATAACACAAGTTAACAAAACATTGAAACAGCTGGTGAAAACTTTCTGTAGCAGCATTTTTTGTTTCATTCCCTGCCTCAGAGAATCATGGGCAAAAGTCTGGAGGCAATTTTGTATTTGTGGCACTTTTTTACTAACAGTAAACATGCTCAGCCCCTCTGTCCCCGTCCCTAATGACAATCTACGGCCCATTTATCCTCATTTTTTCTAGATTTTCAACACTGTATATAGGTGGAGGAAGGGCAACTCCAAAGGCACTGGTAAAAAGATGGCATCAAAGATGGCATCACTTTATAAAAGGCAACATGAAATTATTAGAGGTAGTTACCTAACATCACTTAACCAGCAGATATCTCAAGCTGTGAATTTGCAACGATCCGCAAAGATCAGCAATTAAGCAAAGCAGGGCAAAGCTGAGATACATGTATACAATCACATGTAAGCCCCCTGCAGACTCAGCGGCCACCCTGCACAGACCTGCCTGCCTGGGGCTCAACCGCTGATCCACTAGTGTTGTCTCAAGGTTATCCTTGCCTCAATTACAACTTAGCTAAATTTAAAAACAGGCCCAACTGTATGTTAATTTTTAGGACTGACCTTTGTTACAAAGACCCCCTTGATGTGGATGTCAGTCTTAAGATCTTGACTATAATTAGTTGCCAAATTTTCGATGCCCAACTGACTCGGTGAAACTTGAACTGCAGCAATCTGAAATTGATAAGGAAAAAGAAAACAATGCTCAAACCACCATAAGTTGCTTCATTTTTCGCTGCAAAATGAAAGGAGAGGAAGTCTGTTTTCTATGTTAAGTAAACCTATGCTACAGTGTATATAACAGGCTTTTTTTAGGGAGTATGTCAAAACCTAAAAAATTTAAAAGAAAGCATTGATTTAAGAATTAAACTAGCAATTAAAAGCAAAAAAAAAAACAGTTTTTGTAGTTTTAATAAGTACTGCAAAAAAAAAATTCAATGATACACTCTTTTGGGTTTATTTTAGTTTATTTTAAGGTGATCTAATTAATTCACCCAATTTCAGACCTAACAGTAAACATTTATTAGCTCAAAAGTAACACATAGTTAACATGGTACTCCATTAATTTCTCCTCCATCACATTACTGCAGGTCACTTACCTCAAGATTGTAGTGAGCATTCATAACTTGTTCATTCAGTATAATCACAGTTTCCCCACTATTCACAGCAAGCAGACTTTTGTTTCCAGCCCACTGAAACAGATAAAAAAAAATAATGAAATGACACGCAATATCATCCATGGATGTATGTACAGTGTATAATGCATAGGCTAGCCAAAGTAACAGAGAATGGAAATGGGATTGGCTTAAGGTACTAAATACATTACACCCATTCATTGAAACAACCTCAAATGTTTCCAAACCAGGGTTTTCCTGAACAGCTGACAACAGTGAGACTTAAAAACTGTGTAGCACATCGGTGAGAGCGCAATGAGCTAAGCGAGCAGTGAAGCTGTGAGGAGATTTAGGTGGAAACAATGTGGCTTTGCCACTAGTTCATGGCTTTGCCATTCAGTCTTACTTTGTTTGTGTGCGTGTATCAAAACCTGCCAGCTACAGGCTAATTTGGTTTTATTAATTGAGTCAATAAGGGAAATTTGCCACCGTAAAATGACAATTTGAGCACCAGCCCTTTGTCACAGCAAATCCAATCAACTTAGATGATAAAGCTGAGCTTTACATTTCAATTTGCCACCAATGTAGCACCACAGCTTCTTTACAACTAACCCCTTTACCATCAACTTAGTCTGAGAAGTGTCAGCTGCCTCAAGTTTTAATATGTCAGAGTCACACAACAAACGTAAAGAAATTAACAAAAAGGCCTAACGCACGTGCAAAGTTGTTGTTTTGCTTTAATATTAAACCTGTTGCTTTTCTACCTTTCTTGTTGCCATTGCCATTGAACTTAAGCTTCCTTTTACTGACAGTTGAATCTCTCAATTAATAGTCACTTGTAACGTGAAAGATAGTTTGGATTCTGACAATTAAAAAATGTCAACATAGATACACTTTACAGTGAATCTCTTCGTAGTAATGCCTCGTTTCACTGTTAGTTTGCTCCGTTTATCTTTAGCTAACCTGTATCTGAGACAACTGTGTTTGTCCTTCTAGAACAGATGGTGATTGGAGTTCCCATTTTTCTTGGCCTTCAACGTTTTTCTTTTGGGGTTTTGTCACTGTGTGTTTCCACAAGGCCACCTTGCCTTTGTTTGTTCCTCCAGCAAGTATCCCTTTAAAAGTAACACAGATTTAAATATTGAACATTGAATCCAAAGTAACTATGACTATATAATTATGATTGTAAGGCTGTGTAGTGCTTGTAACACTATAGGTTTGCCTGAAAAAATCAGTACTCTAAATCAATTTCTCACATCAATCAGGAGAAAATCTCAAATCAATAATGACTCACTTGTGAGGTCAATCTCGAAATACGATATTTATTTTGATTTCGATTTTGTGTTATGACTGGTAATGCAGTTGTTAATTAACAGCCCTGCTATCTTACAAGAGAGAGCTTACTGCAAAACCGTTTGTAAGTCTTACCTTTAACCTTATTGTATGAGATGCAGTTTACTACTTCACCAGACTCAAAACCACTACCATCAACTGAAAGAACATAGTTGTCATTTTGTTCAAGATTCCACATCCTGGTTGAGAACAGTGATAAAAACAACATCAGGTTTTAAAGTCAAACCAGGTCAAGCGTACCCACCAAGAATCCATTAATGAATTTATTATTCGAAAGTTGAATCCGTTGCTAGTTGTAGATTTCAGATTGATCTCTGCATTCTGGCATGCTTAATGAGCCGTGAATTCACACGCGAGGCAGTTATGAAATTTCTACTGGCTCAGTTTTCCTAAATATGATGTAAATGTCTTCTAAGAAACTTAATCCATTCAAAGATTTTCAATCTGACCAAATAGAGAGAAGTTCTCGTAAAATATTCACTGCTCATTACGCATGCAGAAATACCGCTTTGAATTTGACACCAGTTAGAGGAACGACTAACGGCTTCATTTTTCAAATAATCAATTCATTAATAGAATCTTGGGGGGTACGCTTGACCTGCCTTGACTGTAATGCAACTGATGTGTACTTCACACTACGGTACAATCACCATCCATTTGCCTAGATCTTTACAAAATGATAAAGACATACAGTGTAAGTTTTATGCTGTCATAGAATAACCAAGTACAGCTGTAAATAACAACACTAGTACTATAGGTGGCTTTTTCGGAATAATTTGACTGTAAAGTTATAACTTGTTGATTAATAATAATATTGAATATTTCACCCAAATACCTGACTACATTTTCCCCCGATGCTGTGGCCAAAACCTGTCTTCCTGCCCAAATTATTTGGCTTTTTGAAGGCTGGCCACTAAGCTTCACCTGAAAATGCAGTAATAATCATCATATATCATTCTTATTGCACAAGCTACCGTAATGCATGCACTTATATCACAGAGATCCAGTTGGTGCTCTATTCTTCTATTTTGGCCAGGTTTTGGCAGTGATTTTGTTACAAACAGTTATAGTGAGTCTTGAAACTCATCTCATGAAAAGTCATGAGTCCCAGTAAAAAAAAAGAGTCTGAAACTGAAAATGCTTAGCCTATGTAACCAGACAGTTAATCTGAAGACAGACTCTAAAACTCTGTATCACAGTGCACTGAATAATTAAAATATAGGCCTTCTATATAGGCAAATTTTTAAGGAAAGTGTGAAGCTCAACTGGAGCTTCCAAAGGGATGGAGGGGCTTAAACTGAAAAGGCCTCCTTGGGAGGTGGGGGAGTTGGAAATTTTCTGGAGTAATACTTGGTATGAGATCACTAATATCATTAATTATTCTGACCTACAAAGTATATGGCTGGCAAAACCATTATTTACATGTACTTGTTATCTGAGGGGCGCGGTGAATAAAATTGAATATTCTACACAACAACGTCTGACTGTTTATCGACATCGTAAATGAAAAGTCATTTCTGTCCACCTTAGCAACTTCTGTTGTTGAACCGTCATGAGCCACCCTGTGTTGTGAAAGAATCAGTCCCTCTGTAACAACAACAAGCACGTCTTTTCCTTCACTGTACAATAAGAACTTAACAGCACCATCAGCTTTAAAGCATTCTGCAGCCCGACCTTTGTCATCAACATAGTACACAGTGCCTACAATGAAGAAAGAACAAAAATCATTGAAAGAAAACCCTTCAAAAGTTAATTTGTGAAGACTTTTTTTAATGTAAAAAAGTAAGTGATGGATATAATTTATTGGAACTGGACGATGTTAATAGCGACAACTAGAGCAACTACTGAACTTGGAAAAGTATCAAAATGATCCACCTAATTGATCATCAATGATCATTATAATCAGAAAAATCTCTTGGTAAGAATTTGACTTAGGAAGGCCGACGTACCATGTTTTAGAACACATCCAAAACATACAAACTGTATCAAGAAAGGGACATTAGTGAATTTGACCCAAGCCTGCTCGCAAGAGTTCCAGTAGCTCAGTGGTTAGTGTCCAATCTAGAACTCAGAGGGTTGTGACTTTGATTTTTGAATGGAGCACAAAATTTTTCTGTGCTTTTGAGTGATAAAAAAATTCCTTTCCTTCTTTAATTATGAGACCATTTTAAGACAGCACACAAGTTTTTAATACAAGTTTTGTTCCTGTGATAATCAGGGTGTTCATTAGGCATCGGAGATTTGAGAATTCTACGTTTACTACGCAGAATTCTCCACCTAACGTTTGGTAGCCTATGATGTGGAGACTTTCAAAAAATATTCTCCTATAACGTTACACCTTTCTCCTATTACTAGAATTCTTACTGAAAATCGTGGATAATCGATTAAACATTCCATAATTCATTACTGGGTTGATTAAACAATATAATAAATGATTGGTATGGGCCATTATACAACAGACACACTTACCATCTTCCACCCCAAAAAAGAATGAATAATCAGATGATGAAGCACTTGATTTGGCACTTTTTCGCCAAAGCATATCCATTGCAGCTTCATCTCCAGCAACAGCAGCCTTTGCCAAGCTTGATACATCACTGCAATATAGATACAACTTAATTTCACTTAGCAACTCAAGCTTAAATAAAGGTAATACTCCTTAAAGATTTAGAAATATAAAATACATTTCACAAACTGTTATTAATGAAGAATAACAAAGAAAATTTGAAAGGACGTGTTAATAGGAGATACCAATAATTGCAGCAAGACTTTAGCTTGCATGTAATTCCTACAAGAATTAAGAAGCTATCAATATAAAACAATATTGAAACAGTGTGTCCCATCACATGCCAAGATACATCAAAGTTGATCTAAAAAACTTGGCTTTGACCACTTTAAAACATTCCTTGCCATTTTGATATAGGTAGAAACACAGTCATGTACTCACTATTCAGGGCTTGGTGGTGGTTTGAAAACACAAGCTGTTATTTGTGATGAAGCATCGTGCTGGTACAGTGGAGACTGCTGAAGGCGGCCCTTCTGATCTGCCTTCCAGATGGCAAGGATCCCAGCCTAATGAAATATATTATTTACACTGCTAGTAAGCTTCATAAGGACAAAATAGCTTTGCTAGATTTTGAAGACTGGGTGAGTGGTTTTCCTCTAAGTGGGCAATTACATGTACTATTAAACTACTAAGATGATATAAATTTAGTGGCTTATACCTGTCAGGTATATGCAATATTTTGATGGCTTTTCAACTAAGGTTGCAAATAGTCCCCCGGTTATGGATCCTGACATTTGAGACTAGTCTAGAGCATAGAAACGAGCAGTAGCAACACACTAGCAATAACCCTGACAAAAAGCACTTAAAATGTGACCATCTGGCCCGAGTTGTTCAAACACTGGATAGCATTATCCATCTGATAGACCACTATCCTGTGGATAAGTGTTACAATGTAGGAAGACCAATTACATTAACACTGGAAAGATATTTATCCAGTAGATAATCCTATCCACCCTTACAACTGGGGTCTGGTCATTTTGCATGTCAGACTGAGTTGCTGCATCATTGGATGACACTAAGGTACTGTTCTGGGGAAGCTGTTGTTTCTTTTATCAGTTATTGCTAGGGCTGCACCGGAAACAAGGTCAAAATATATTCCTCAAAACAGTCCCATAAAGCAGTAGCTGATAAGGTAATACTCAGTAAAGAAATATCAAAAAGTGTCAGATGTTTTCAAAAAACACAAACGTTTTGAGTTTATGACCCTTCTTCAGTGTGACAAAAAAACTGTTGTACAGTACTACGCAATATCATAGACATCATAAAAATGATAGAGGTACACCCACGTGTAACAGCGCGTGCAGGATTTATATAACGTCCCAATTCAAATGAAACTGAAATTGATATTCAGTCCTTTCGGCTAAACGGTGCCTAGTTGAAATACTGTGGCCAGTGGAGTTGAAATGTTGGGTCACAGGAGACCCAAGAGTGTTGTTGCGTATACTTTGCAGACGTTTGTGTTTTTTTAAAACATCTGACACTTTTCGATATTTTTTTTACCAAGTATCACCTGATCAGCTGTTGAAGTACAAGTGTCACACATCCCTGACAGTTTTTCTGTTAAACATTCACCCATAAAGCAGTGTTTGATACAACACCAATCCATATATGCATTACTGACCCAACACCAATCCATATATGCACTATTGTTCCAGCTTTTTTATCATAATGGCTGGATATTGGTCTAGTACTTTTTAACTTTGTTATGAACCGAGTCAAGGCCAATAAGATCGCGTAAAAGAACAAGGACAATGTCCAGCTATCTTGACCGACAAAAAATTGGTCTTAAAGGATCAATGCAGGAAATCCACCCATCTTGCCACTCAAGGAGCCAATCAGAACACAGGATTTCCTTTGTCTTGACCACTTGCAGATTCAGCCAAACAATGATGTACATTATAGCACTAAAAAAATCCCTGATGAGTGACAGCCCTGTAAGTGTGCACAGTGAACGCACCTGATCACAGGTTACAAGTCTATTTCCATTGCTACTCCACTGAACAATCTTTACTGGAGACTGGTGAATGGATGAAGCCTCATGTAACTCACGATCATGCTCATTCCAGATCAGCACATCACCACTCTGCCAACCAATGGCAAGAATTTTCCTGACAGGATGCCATGCAATAGCTGTTACCAAGCTAGAACGCTGGATTGAAGACTCTTCGACTAATTCACCCTGTTAACAGTGTTAGTAAGAAGACATTAGAGACCTTTAGATTTGAGGACAAGAACAAAAGTACAGGATTTGACTAACAGTTATTTTTTGCGTATTCTCAAAAAATAAACACCCAGACTACTTTATTGGAGGAGGTTAAGTCCTCTCCCCATTGAAAAATGATAAAACATCTCACATTTGTTAAATTGTTTCTGGCACTACAACATCCTCCCTAAAATTCATAGTAGAACAATGACAGATGTCAAGTTTTCCTGCCAAAATGACGCTGGCTCATGTACGAGCACTACTTAATATTGAGAAAATCTTCAGATGTAGTCATTCTCGTCTTAGAATCTGATGGTCTCTATTACAAAACGTCAAAGAAATATGTGCTTTATGATTGGTCAGAACATTTCTATTAGATTTTCATAGCTTGTGATGATGTACAGTTGTATGTGAAATCTTGGCCTGTGACTATGACTCCTTGATCTTTTATTGTTTGCCTGCATTGAAATTACTCAGTCATAAAATGCCAGGGATCAGCAAAATACACAATCATTAAGGGCTTGAATTGATCAGTACAAAACAAAATGTTTCAAATCAGACCAAAAGGATTCACAAGACAGAGTTTCATTAGGTTCACCCTTCAAAATCAAAAAAACCACTGTTGATCTCTACAGAGCAAAACTGACCTTAAATTTGTATCAAACAACTACCACTACTTGCATTGTGCATCTGTTGTACAATTTGAATCTGATAAAGACTGGTTTTCACTACAAGAGTTGAGTTGCGGTCTTAAACAGAGTCAAGGGAGAACTTATGATCTAGTGAAAATCAAAAATAGAACTTGTAATAATATTGGAGTCATAAGCATAACAAAATCAGAGTCAAAAGAAACATTTCCATCTTCCTCTAACACCACTTATGGCTTTGTCAATTATGATCTTATGAAAACCAGAATACAAGCTGATTACAATGCTCATTCCCACACTTTGTGATTGGTGTTGTTTTTATAATCTGGCTCTGTTGTCAGTAAAAACCAGCCTTGTAATGAGAAGGAACTTGTATTTATGACATTACCTCATCAAGATAAAAGTCCACAGAACCTCCCACATCTGGCTCATTTTTTGAGGCCACAGCTAAAAGAGGATAGCTACTGTGCCAAGCTATGTCAGTTTGAATAGCTACAGCAGGAGATTGAATTCTATGGTCAAAGTAAACTGCCATCTTTGAAGACGTATAAGTGAGTACAAATCACCAAGTCAAGACGGAAAATGCGTTTTCATGGAAAATGTAACATCCACTAGTTCTGTTTTCTAGGTAGAAAAGACGACGCATCAACACGTGAATGCAAAGGAGCCAACAAGAGAAATCTCCACCTTGTTTAATATGATGAACTTGGTGATCGGATGATCTATGAGTAAGCAATGTACTTCACTCGTTGAGTTCGTTAAAAGCTAATAAAATCAGCTATAATTTCCGAAGACAAATAATATACAGTATGCCTCCTTGTAGTTTTTTCCACTGCTCCCTTGCTAACAGATTTCCCAAGAATAACGGGAAATTAAGGCAAACCAATATAGGCCATCAACGTCACTAGCAACACACACAACTGTTGCCACGCAAAATTATTGCCTCTTTCCAGGGACAAAACCACCAAAAACAATGATAATTATGGTCCTTTAGCCAGAATAATCTCAAAATAAAGATTTCCAATGGTTACAATGCTCAGTGAGCCAAAAAGACGCGAATTTTATGCCATTTTTCTCCTTTCCTTAGCTAAAACAAGCGTTAGTAAAAATTTGTAAAAGCCCGGATATTCTATTTTTGTTTGTATTGCCGCTGACAAGCGCCTAGCAACGACCACCTGCGCAAAATTCAAAATGGCGGGAGGCGGGCTTCATAGTTCGGTATTTCTCGTCATGGTATCTGGGCAGATAGAGTCCGCAAAGGTGAGACAAAACTTATAAGTATGCCAAATTGCAATAAGATGTATTAAATCTGTATTTTCTTTTTGTCTTCGACCTTAGTTCCCAGAGTTTGACGATTTATACTGCAAGTACAGTTTTGTTTATGGTCAAGATTGGGTCGTTACGTCTGTAAGTACTTTTTAAAGGTCGTTCTTTATTTCGCGGCTGTGCATCCAGGAGTTTTATATACGTTTTTTTCAATTTGGTATCATAATGACAATCATGCTGGAAAAGTACCTTTAATGTCCTACACGCACCTAATGTCTTTGTATGTAAAAATGATGTCAAAATTTGACATGAATATCTACAGATAGGAACGATATTGCTTTTTTGACAGGGATGGGAAGAAGGACTTTCCCAGACTACAAAAAAGAGTGTAGACAGGCGACAAGTATTTGTTTTCAACTTTCCACTGGATATTACTTTCAAGAGTACTAGCCCTTTTGGATGTGAGTACAAAAATGCATTAAAAATATTCTGTATATTATCATTGGCTATTATTTTGGTTTTTCATTTTGTATTGACAATTCAAGTGTGTCTGCGCAGTACTTCCAGTCAATTTAAACTCCCCAGCGGGGGGAGGTACTTTAGGAATTTTTGGGTGGGGATGTCAGCGTGCAAAGAAAGTAATGTCCGATAGTCAAATTTGTTTTTAACCCCAGCGGGGAAGGTACTTTGAATAACAGAAAACAAAAAGTTTTTGGGGCTGGAAATGTGGACTAGTAAATTAGCTGCCCAAATGGGACCCTGGAACCCTTAGCCTATACCAGAGCTGAATTTTGCTACCCAAAACTAGACTAAATTCCCCAAGTCTTACTAAGAATCATCGTATAGATCGACAGCAAGTACTTGGAAAATAAAGTAAACAAATCCTGCCTATCCTAGCGTAGCTTTTGGGCTTAAATTTGCCTATTTGTTTTTTTTATATATTTTTGAGTGGCAATTCCTGGTTTCCCTAGCGTAGACTAAAATCTTCAACCAACTGATCAGTTTCCTGGAAAATGATACCCTATTCTAGACCCAGACTCTCTAATTTAATCTTCGTCTGGTTGTTTGCTATTTTCAAAACATTTCCAGAAAATCCAGTTGGGAAGTAAATGACTTTGAAATGACTTTATGGAGAAAATTTCCAGGAGCAACGGAACATCTGAAAAGGCAGTCCTTTGTGTTTCAGTTATTCAAACCTATTTTTGATACCAGTTTCTGCCTTTTGCTGCTGTTTTTCGATAAATGGAACTGACTAGTATAAATAATATTTAAACCTGATTCCCGGATGAAATTTAGCAGTCTTGAATTTTGCTTACCATTTGCCCAAACTGTGAACCGACCAGTTTGAACATGGGAATGGTAAACAACCTCTGTTTCAAGTTGTATCTTTAGGTTATTTCACATTACCAAGCGGTGATTCTTAACAGGATATTGTGCTACTCTTTAAATTCTTCTCCAGGGCCTCAACTAGTGATCAGTTGTTATGGCTTGGATTTCTATGGCCATGATGTGGTACGCGGATATGGAGCTGTTCATGTTCCAATCTCACCAGGAAGGTATATCAATCACTTCTTCACCATTAATTATTTTATATTTTATATTTTACAACAGACAATTAAACAACAACAATGAATCTTTATTAATAAGCAGATGATATAACACTGCCCACAGCTAGCAAGGCTATTAAATTTTTGAGGCAGGACAGTGTGTGCAAAAAAAGAAATTAAGATTAAGGCTAAGTAAGGAAAATTTACAGTTTACAAATAGGTAAAATAAAAATCGTAATATGATTGAGGACTAGATAACACGATGGAGAAGGTTACAGGAATTACTTTGAATACTACATTTGAACCTCGATATAGCAAAGGGCCATGGGACAGGGCAAAATATGTTCACCATAACAAGGTTATTTTCCACATATTTTTCTATTACTGGGGCGAAGAATTAGCAATTATTGGATGAGGTTGAGCAAAATATCGTGATTTGTCAGTGGCGAGCAGATATTATTTGCCAAACCCGAAGGCTGAGGCAAATAATTGATCTGTGAGACACTGACAAATCACGATATTTTCTGCTGAGTTCAATAATTGTTTTATCATTCGATGACCGAGTTTGTTTTTTTAATGAACATCCTTGGGAAGAGAAGCAATCTGCCATTTTCACGCAAGAGCGATCGCAAGAAGGAGAAAAGCACGGTTTCCTTTACGCATGAGCAGAATATTATTTGCAGCCAAACACAGTTGGACAGCATTGCGCATGAGCAGACCATTATTTGTGGGCAGTTATTTGCAAGTCATGTGGTGGGCTCTCAGTCAATGAAAAGAAAGAAAAATTTGCTTCAAATGATAATTATTATTATCTTTCATTGTGTCCTTATTATCCAAGTTAGTGACTATATCAATTCTATTGTTTGGTGTAATTTGTATTCAGCCACACAAGGGAGATTCCAATGTTTGTTCCTGAGTCATCGTCAAAGTTTCAGAAATTCATAAGGTAAAGTGTTGTGTTTTCTTCATTACAACAGTCAAAATAAGCTCAATATTCATCCCTATTCTCTTTAGAGATCATTGTTTTCTTTGTCAATGATCTGGTGTCAAGTAAATCCCTGTTCACTACTCATCAGTGGTTGGCTGTTTATTTTTAATCCTATCCTGCTGTGCCTTTCTTAGGGAAAGAGGTGCAACAACCCCCCTTGATTATACACCCTTAATTTACCTAAAATGCATTTGTCTTCCATTACATGTACATAGTTTTGGGTTTCTTAATAATCTACGGCCGTTTCCGAGTTGCCTCAAACCTCTGTTTCAAAGCGAGGCTTAGCGCCAAGCTATTAGCCTGTACACAGACGTTGTTTTATTTTTCTTTTCGTTCTTTTCGGAAACATCGGCGAGCTCACAAGCGTGTGAGAATGAGCATGGAGTGCGAGAAAGAAAAATAAATTTTTCTTCTTCCCCCACCCCTACCCCCTTGCGCTGGGGGTCAATAAATTCCCTGCAGTTTATATTTTATCATGCGCGCTCGATGGACTTTGAAGAGAAATAGAGGGTCTGTGAACAGGCTACCAAGCTATTGATATGAAAATGATTTTTTGATTCTCATGCAAATGATACTCATTTCCACGAGAAAGATTGTGCACATAGCCTCATTTTGAAAGTGGGAGGTTTTGGAACTTGGAAAATAATGGCCGATTTTAATATTATTGTAGCATGCCCTATACCAAAAATAATATCTCCTTTTTAGAATGAAATGTTTACATATTTTTTCCATTTAAAATACTAAATGCAAGAATATTTTCTTAATAGTTGGTTCTTTGGTAGGAGACCAGAGTTTGTGGACCCCAAACTTGCTGCACAAGGAGAAGGAAGGGAAGTGACCAGAGTAAGGTCACAAGGAAGTGTGAAAGTGACATTCAGTGTGGTGACACGCGACATGAAAAAACTTGGTTATGACACAGAGCCTGCTAGTGTAGCTATCCCTCACCTTGCTCCTGGTAATGCTGGAGTCACAACAATAAGACCAGAATCTCAAATGCATGGAGCTGAGAGTCACTCCTAGCAACCATAGAGTGCATGTGATTGGGAAATGTGGATTTGAATTTTGAATTCCTGATTTCAGATTTGCATTGAAACGTGAAAATATCCAAAACTGAATTTCAACGCTGAGAATGCTGTCCTTGGATTTCCCTTCTTTCCGTTTTTTTGGGGGGAAATCTGAAAAAGAGTTTGAAAAACTGTTCTCAAGAACAGCAGTTTTGCATGTGCATGCATGTTTAGCAGAAAAAAGACTACTGTTCATGACAACAGTTTTGCAAATCCTTTTTCAGATTTTAAAAACCACAGTAAAAAGGGAAATCCATGTATTCGGGGTTTGGATGTCATAAGTGATATCCACCTGTCCTCAGCTTGGGGACAAATTTCTCGGGGGTGATATTTGAACACAGCAGTCATGGCATTTTTGATCGATTAGATCTTGTTTGCCTCAAACTTCTGGGGGTTTAGACAGTTAAAGAGATGATGTAAACCCTAGGGGTAACACAGGTATTTGGTTGAGTGTCTGGCCACCAAGTCAATTATTTAAAGCCTCAAAGGAACAACACTGTACATTTTGAAAATAATATTTTTCAGAACATGAAAAGCATTAAGAACTTTAGAAGGCATTGATATTTTGTGGTTATAAAAAGAAAATGAAATTTAATAAATTTATATACTTCGCTCGTAAATATTTAGGTAAACTGAACCCATGCATTGTTGTTGTAAAAAATTCTATAAACATAAGTGAGCATAATTTCAACAATAAAGAAAAATGTTATCTACACATACCATGTACAGTAAGTCAAGTGAGTCATTGCTGTTGTTCCACCATACACTGAGGAACACAAAGTTATCAGGATATGACATATTATTAAAGGTAAAAGGTTATTCGAGATGTGAAATGGGATGCTGAAAAAAGGAAACATATTTTGGGAATATTATAAGACAGCATTCTGGGATATCACACATTAAAGTTCTCAGATATGGAAGGGAAAAGATAAGTTCAATGGTACGAATAGCTTCTTAAGCAGCCATTTTTAGGGTTGTCATGCAATACTCCTCACCACAGAGTAAAGGAGAAGGTAGCCTGTAAGCTACCTCTCATGCGAGAGCCGCCTGTGATAGGAGATGCAAGTGTGAAGGACGGGGAAGGAACAACAAGCTGACTCTGAAAAACTTACTAGACAGGCTTCAGGGAACAAGGTCTTCTTGTCATTTTGGAAGAGGCAAAGAGAGGATTAAGTAAACCACTGAAAGTGACCAAACTTTCAAGTTGTTGAGTGTTTATTGATAAAAACTGTAGAAAAAGGAAGGGAAAATGTACAGAGAGTTATATGAGCAGCTTTTCAATTGCTTGTTGAAGTGACTGAATCTGTGGCTTTAGCTGTGATCCTTCATTAATCGTTACAGCTGTGGCAATAACAGGGCGAGATACACCACATGCTCGACCAAGAGCCTGCTTGGAACGAACAAATACATACGGTACATTCTAAAAGAAAGGAAAAAAAAGGCTATTTGGTTGTGTTCATTAACATACACTACAGTTAATATACTACAGGAAGACTTATAGTCACACAGGTTCCCATCCAACCTCCACCACTGAATTAGTTCTAATTAAACCCTCTAAACTCCACTATCCACATACAAATTCTCCAAACTGATCTCCATACATTTCCTTACAGAATTAGTTGCAAGGCTTTGATAAAAGATCACAGCATTTTCTCTTTGGTGATCGTTTTATTAATTCTCATTACTTTATCTCTTGACAATGTATGGATATTGTTAGAAGAAATTGTTACTGGTAATAACTTTAATCAAAGCACTTAAGCTTTATCACTACTCAGCCTTCATTTGTCTGGTTTGTAGTGAGAGAAGAACACTGTAGGCCCGGTGTTTGATACCTCTCTACCCTCGTCAATGTAACCACTCATAATCAATGAAATGTAGGCTCAGCAATTTACCTGAACCAAAGTTAAACTTACTACCTTACAGTCAAAATCTTCTGAATTTTGTATACAGAACTTGCTTTTACCACTATTACGGTGTATTTCTCCTGTCACATAATTTTTATGTGCATATAACTCACATAAATTTTTAAAGGTAAAGAAAATAGAGGCAATGTATGAAATGTCATGTGTAAATGTTAAAAGTTGAGCAAGGTTCACTTATTATGTGCGACCATCCATCCATTGCCTCTACTTGACAGACGTAAATTTTAGGTGTCATTGGAAAATCTCCACCTTTATCATCGGGATTAAAAAACTAACAAATATTGCTCTCACTTTGTCTTCACACAGTAGAGGAAGGTGCAGTAGAATTTCTAGTGGTTCGGTGTCTGCTGCCATAACAATAAATTCTGCAATGCCACGGTTCAGGCATTTGGTAGCTTCATTAGCCCCTTTTCTAAGCTGCTTGTAATTTGTTGCTTGTTGAATCAGGTCAAGAATTGTCACTGTTAACTGTGGATCTGCCAGCGGGAAGGCCTTTGGGTTTACATCGTCACTTGCCTAAAATATAAAAAAAAAATGTCAAAAGAGCGTAAATTTGTGCTATTGTACTGGTCTTCATTAAAAGTCACGTGTGAGCAGCATTTGTAAGAGTAGCAGAAGTAAGTGTGCGGAAAGACCTCCGCCACTCACTTGGCTTGGTTTGCTAGCTTTCCTAGCTACTTGAAGCTTGCAGGTCAGTCACAGCCTAGGCCGCCCCGCAGAGTTGTAACAATAGTTTTAGCTTTCAACAATGAGTATAGGATTCTTAATACATTTCTTTGAGAGAATATAATGTTATTCGGATTCTTTGTAAAGTGGATTCTCTGCAACAACAGCATTACAACAGAATGCTTTTTAAGTTTGCTTTTTGGGATCAAACACGGATCACAAACCTTAAAAATGTGGATTTTATTAAGCTTAATTGAGGTCTTAATTGATCCACAAAGTGATTTCAACATCCACCTTTGATTACAATAACACCTTCGTTGTAGAACACGTAACGCAAGTAATCTCAGTGCAGGCTTAACCTCACTATTGGTAGAACAATTCAGAAAGATTTTGAGGACAACAAGAAACATATAACTAGCACAATAGTCTCTAGTACACCCTCAGTTTTTTTGTTGCTTTGATCGTCCATGTTCATAAACGAAGTCTCAGTGATTGTATGGTATGACTGTATTCGACTTTACTTTCCAAAGATACGCTAAAAAACAACCAAATAATTCCCTTACCATCTTATTCTATTGGTTTTAGGTCCTCTCGGCACAATTAAGCTTCACTGAGGACAAAAAATCAACAACTCGTCTTCCTTTCAAACTGATCGTGACTGCACGTGTAGGAGACGCTTGAATGCACGCACAGGGTTATGGGAAGTGGGGTGCCAGAAAAAAACTAAAGAGGGAGGGGAAGGTAAAAGGAATCCATCTGCTAGCCCGCAAGCACTCGCCCAAATAGGAGAGCTTGCTCGGAGGCTATATCCATCTGCCGAATACCGGGAAAAAGAGGCCTCTGCATCATACAATTTCACTTTCTTGAAACTCCAGATCTCCCTTTCTCTCCTCCGCGTCGGACCATATTTTCGCCCCTCCTGGTATGGAATTGGCTATAAAATGGAGGTAAGGAATCTTTCCTCTTCAGATCTATTTTAATTAAGATCGCACTGTGTTTGAGCTTTCTAACCAGCGCCAGACCCAGACCTTGAGATAAGGTGGGGGCGCGGTCTCCAAAAAAGTTTTTTTCGGCCCCTCGGGCCTCAGTTTGGCTCAATAATAAGGGGGGCCGGCCCCCCTGGCCCCTCCGCTGGATCCACCACTGCTAACTCTATATCTACATCTACTTTATTTTGACTAATAAAGCAGAATCACTGCATCACATCAGTTTCACTCAAAATAACATTGTAATGAATTCTATAAATAACATTATTATTAAAAATTAAAACCACTTCCTTGTCCTCCTTGCTTAATAAGATGGTCGCGAAAGGCAGTCTCAAAATGTCATTATTCTTAATATTCTCTAACAGACCATGGGAAGAAACTATTTGCAGGCTGGTTACGACTGAAGTGAGGTCTCAGAAACAACATAGAATCGTGTCTCTCTCAGTGTAAACTTTTCTGTTGACAACACGATGAAACATAGTCAATCGAGAGAGCTTCCGTTTACTTTCAAGAGATGGCCATTCTAGGTTCTCCAGCATGTTGTTTACAATACCTGGCTGTCAAAGAAGCATCTAGGAGCAGAACGTTGGACTTTCCGAAGATAAGGATACCATACGGAACTAGCACATTCTAGTCCCCGGGGGGTACTTCCTGGCAGATACGGGAAGGCTCCGCCCGGAAGGGATACATTTTTCAGACTTCAGGTATATGAAAGGGTAGGGATTTACTCGTTGAAGTGTACGAAAGGGTAGGGAAATCTGTCATTTGGGTCTGTGAAAGGGCCCAAAGGGCTAACAGATGAATTCTATGGCTTTATAAAGTCGAGAAAACGTTCTATTTTTGTGATTGATTCCTATTTATAAAACTACAGTGCATTTACAGCAGTTAAACGGGATTCAAAGTTCTAAACAAGGTATGTGAAAGGGGTACCATTTGTCAATAGAAGGTATACGAAAGGGGTACCTATTTCGTGAAAAATTGTATATAAAAGGATAGGGGGTTGGACCTTGGGGCGGAACCTCCCCGCATAAAAGTTTGTTGAGTACTCCCCGGCATCCTAGTGTAGGTCTTACTACGCTACAGTAAAGTTTAGATTTACATTGTATGGAGGTACATGAAGTCGAATCCCGATAATTCGAACCTTTAAGGGAAATAGAAAAAAGTTCGAGCTATCGAGGGTAAAATATAGAGCAAAAGATCTGAGGGGAACTGAAAATTGCTTCGAGTTAGCGGGAGGTTCGAGTTACCGGGATCGAGTCGACTGTACGTCTAAAATTCCTCCAGATAACGCCAAGAGTCTGTTTAGCACTTGAGGAAACTTGCGCAACATGACTTGCCCATTTCAAGCCTAAATATGAATGGTGGTGGTCCCTATCTAATGTATGACCATTAAGAGTATATGGTCCAACATTCTTTTTGTAGAGAAGCAGATTGTATGGCATTTTTCTATGTCAAATGACATTTGCCAGTCCTTTTCCCACTTGGATAAAGCATTTTACTTTTTTTGTTTAGTCATCCTGAAGGATTTGGTTCTCCATACGACCAGTTATAGCATGATACAGGGAACAATCGTCCTCAAATAACCCTATTAACAGTAGAGGAAATGCATGAAGAAAAGCCATTAATGTATGATCAGGAAAAGCAGCGTTCATCTCAGGCTAGTGGGACACCGGAGATTACATCACACCGATTAGATGCAATTTCCGCCAAGGACAGTTTCTGTTTTCTCTGGGTCAGAAACATCCCAATCCAGGACAGCATTCTACTATTTAAACCATGATGGCATAGCTTATAGAGTAACCTTTGGTGTGGTAGTCGATCGCATGCCTTAGAAAAATCTCTGAGTACGAAGGAATAAACTTGATTACCATTATTCATCGTATCTACTAAATCACCTCATGCGTCAACTTACAAAAGCACGCGTACAAGGTGGCCAAAGAAACGCACGATTGTTGGTTTCACCACAGGTGGTCCAAGCTCGAAATTACGAAACGCTAGGGATGAGATACATCCAGCTGACCGAGCTGTGAGAGAGCTCCTATCTGGCGGGTGGGACAGGTGATCCCTAGGATTGAGAGCTTTCCCGCTTATGCCCTCCGACCTGGGCTTGCTTTTTCCTCCGTAACAACCGGAAGGTTAGAAAACAATGTTATTATATAAACACCAATGAAATACCAAGTGAGCTTTCGCGCGAAAACTTGATATCTTCACATGTGAAAATATCACCATTGCTATGGCTTCATAATAAACCACACCGTTCAGACCAAGAAACGTGTTAAGTAAAATGGTTTGGCATTTCATTGTTGTTTATATAATAAATAGAATACTACATGATCGCTTGGAGATACGAAATTTCTCTTCTCGAGTTGAAAAAAATATTTCACTCGTTCGCTGCGCTCACTCGTGCAACACTCGAAGAGAAATTTCGTATCTCCGCGCGGCTATGTAATATCCTTTATGTATCAAACCAAACACAGAATATCCAACAATACCAGACTTGATTTATGCAATACGACCGTAAGAAAACAAACCGGCTTTCACAAAACCTGCTATGCGCTACTTTCATGGCGTGCATATGATCTAGAGACACTACCAACTCAACAAAATTTTACTTTAATCACCATACGTTGGTAGCTTATAAAATAGAAATTACCAGTACTTTATGAAGTTTATCTCGGAGATCAAAAAAGCCTATTCTACAAAAAGCTAGACTTCAGTTTCTTCTTTCCGGGGGGGGGCTAAATTCCTCTGAGTTACCTAACTGACGAACATTTTGTCGCAGATACAAATGCTCGAATTTAAAAGTCTATTATTTTTCACTACAGTTGACTTTCTTTCCCTTCCCTTATTGGAGAACAGCACTGAGAAAAGACGTCGCGTCACGTAACATAACGTAACAGCTTCTCCCGGCCAAAAACAAAATCACGGAAGACCGCGCACGCAAAAATGTTACACGACGAAAGCAATAAGAAGCCATTTTTCCTCCAAGACTGTACATATCAAAACTCCGTACACAACCTTTTGATGTAGAACTAACTATACTCTATTACATTGTAAACTTGAGGATTTGAAGATGTTCTACCCCAAAAACCTTTAATCCAATCCCTTAAATTAACGATAATATAGACTGATAGTCCCAGCACATCTGCTAACTAATTCAACGGTCACCTTTCACTTTTTAAGCCTTCTGTTAGTGTCTTCTCGTCTGCTAAACAGGTAATTATATATTTTTTATATCTTTCCAATGAAAATAAGCTTTAAGTTAACTTTCAATTTCTTTGTTATTAGACTGAATAAAAAAGCTACTTGTTAAGATGAAAACGACTGACAAAGAAGAAGAATAATCGGAAGCACTTAAGCTGGAAAGACGTTTCAAACTTGGATTTTAAAAGTGTTGCAACTGGGACCTCAGGTGTGACTCGTCAGACTAGCTGATACAGGCCTCAAGAATAATTTCATTGTAAAAAAAAAGCTAACTAATACGCCCTACATTTTTATAACAGGAGAAAATCTCTTTAATCAAAGAAAGACATACTTAAGACACTAGAAATGAAAAGCGAAGTAAACTCAGATAACACAGAGGTGACTGTAATTGTTGCTGGGTGAGTTCGTTGGCGAATCTAAGGTTCAGCATCAGCTTCAGGCGTGGCGTCATCTCCTGCATCGGCCGGCCTATCTCGAGTGGTTTTTCTTCTGGGTTCAGGAGGAGTGGTGAAACCACTACGTCCGCTGGGAGCGCCACGGCCCCTGAAAATACATGAAAACAAATGAGAAACTTCCAAACCACATAGGTTCGGGGGAGAAGCGCGGGCTCATTTCTCGTGCAGCGGCTGGTAATCGAGCCTTGGCACTACAGAGCAGTTTTCATACGAAGCTGTAAGTAAAGCTTTTGTTTTCATAATATCATTGAAATCACTGCCTCCAAGTCCCAAGAGTGGCCACATCAGTTTTCTTTTAACAATAACAATACATAACCAAAAGAAAATGTAAGGAGAATAATTAATGAAATGATCACCAAAATGCTTTGATCTGTTACGACATTCTCAACTAATTCTGGCAAGAAATGAAAAGAATTCAATCTGGAGAATTTGTAGGTGGATATTTGGGCGATACTTTGGGTGAATATGATCGCTGCGATCGTTCAAAACTCTGGATATTGTTCACAAATATTGAGACAGTCAACCGGCTACAAGCAACAGGCTACCGTGAATTGCCGCTTACAAGCCCCCCCCTCCCCTCCCCACCCGCCAACTATAAGCCCCCACCGATCAGTAATAGGATCATCAACCGATAAACATAATAATACATCCGATTAAAAGCCCCCCCGGATATAAGCCCCTTCCCCCCTGAATTCGATTAATTGTGATGTTTTAAAGCTTAAAAACAAGTAAATGCAAACTGACGTATTTGGATCAGCACTGCTATAACTTGTTTTCGAAGCGCTCTTTCTCTCCAGCTCTGCTTATAAGTCCCACTAACACCTTTCACGAAGATGTATAAACCCAGGGCTTAAAAGCGGTAGTTCACGGCATTTGACTTGGTTCCATACCTTCAGGGTCACTACTGGCTACCCAATTCAGGGTTTACCTCGGTGTAAGAACCTGTGAACTCTTTCTTTGTTTTG